ATCAATCAATCCTCTTTCAATCATTTATGGCAGCTTTACAACATTTATCATTTTCTCTCTTCTTCCTCAATTTCATCACCTTGCACCAACAAATTGGTACCTAGAGTTCTTGGTTTATTCTGAAATTCTGGGAAACACGAGTGATAGTGAGCTGTGTGTTTGATTTTTGGTTCCTGATTTCTGTTGAATCTTGAACAAAAATATGAACATAATCACACTAATTTTGTGGGTTTGGAAAACACTGAGTGAGAATATGAGATCTGAGATTTGTGCAAGGTTTAAGATGAGTGGAGGTAGCAATTTGAACACTAAACTTTCAGTTTTTGATGGCAAAAGCTGGAACAGATGGATGATACAGATGCGTGTGTTGTTTGGTGCTCAGGATGTTCTGGATCTTGTTACTGATGATTATGTTCCAGTTGCAGTAGATGCTACTGAAGAACAAAGATCTACAGAAAGAGCTACGAGGAAGAGGGATCAGAAAGCTTTGTTCTATATCCATCAGTGTGTGGATGAAAGTGTGTTTGAGAAGATTGCTGATTTGACGACATCGAAAGAGGCATGGGATATATTGGTCAGATGTTACGGTGGTGACGCGTCAGTGAAGAAGGTGAAGCTTTAGTCCCTGCATAAGCAATATGAGAATCTCAACATGAAGAACAGTGAGAAAGTTTATGAGTACATCTCCATAATGATTCTGATCACTAATGAGATGAAAGCTTGTGGAGAAACACTTTCTGAACAGGTAATCATAGAGAAGATTCTGAGGTTACTTACTCCTCAGTTTAATTACATTATTATTTCTATTGAACATTCTAAAAATCTGGAAACCATGAGAATAGAAGAGTTACAAAGCAGTCTAGAAGTGCAGGAGTTGCGTCTGCCTGAAAGAACTTTTGAGAGGGAAGTGGAGCAAGCTCTAAAGGCTTCTTTTGTCAAGAAGGACCAGAAGCAAAATAGACGTGGTGATAAATTCCAGAAGTCATAAACCTCAACTTCTGATGAAAAGAAATATCAGAAGGGAAAGGAAAGGTATGACAAGAAGAAGGTTCAATGTTATTGTTGTAAATAGTTTGGCCATTTTTCCAGAGATTGTAGAAACAGAGGAAGGAAATCAGAAGAAGCAAATATAGTCAGAGGAGATTCTGATGATGAACATGTGCTACTGATTGCTTCTGATTCTGATGGAAAGTATTCAGAAGATTGGTGGTATATGGACACTGGATGTTCAAACCACTTGACTGGGAACTAACAATGGCTGATAGACTTTGACTCTAGAAGGAGAACAAAGATCAGATGTGCTGATGATAAGTATCTTAATGTAGAAGGTATGGGAAATGTCAGATTCAGAGTGAAGAATAGAAAAAACATTTTGATCAAATATGTTTGGTATGTTCCTGGAATTAAAAGCAATCTGATGAGTATGGGTCAGCTCATTGAGAAAGGGTTCTCAGTTGTTATGAAGGACAAACTCTTGATGTTATATGATTCTAATCAGAAGTTAATTATGAAGTCTGAGAAGGGAAGCAACAGAACATTCAAGGTGAATGTAGAAACAGCTGAAGCAGAGTGTCTTAGTGCAGAAGGCGCTGAAGTTGATAGTAAGATATGGCACAAGGGGTTGGGGCACTTGAACTATAGAAGCTTGGGGCATCTAAGTTCTAAGAAGCTTGTACATGGCATTTTGAAGATTGTGAAGCCTGAGAAGTCATGTGAGATATGCATGAAAGGCAAGCAACCCAGATTTCCATTTGCACCAGAAGTAGCCCCCAGAGCAAAGCATGCTTTGGGAGTAGTACATTCTGATGTGTGTGGACCATTGCCAGTATCTTCACTTGGAGGAAACAAATATTTTGTATCTTTTATGGATGAGTTCACAAGAATGACATGGGTAACACTCATCAAGTTCAAGCATGAAGTGTTTACTGAGTTCCAAAATTTCAAGGTGAAGGCTGAGAAGCAGAGTGGTCAGAAGCTGAAGATTCTGAGAACGGATGGTGAAGGTGAGTATAACTCTACAGAGTTCCAGAAGTTTTGTGAGGAGAATGGAATAGAACATGAGGTTACTACTCCATATACTCCTTAGCACAATGGTCTTGCTGAAAGAAGAAACAGAACTTTGCTTGATATGACCAGAAGTATGCTGAAAGAGAATAAGCTACCTCACGTGTTATGGGGAGAAGTTGTTGCCACGTCAACATATGTTCTAAATAGGTGTCCAAAGAAGAAGATGAAGGAAATTGTTCCTTTAGAAAAGTGGACTGGAGATAAGCAAAGTGTTAGCCATCTGAGGGTGTTTGGTTATGTATGCTACAAACACGTTCCAGAAGCTAGAAGACGGAAACTGGATGATAGAAGCAAAGTAATGTTATTGGTGGGGTACCATAATACAGGTGCCTATAAGCTTTATTGTCCAGAAACCAACAAAGTGGAAATCAACAGGGACGTTATTGTGAAAGAGTTAGAAACATGGGATTGGAACAAGCTTCAATCAGATTCCCGTGTAGCGCCAACACCAGAGTTAGTTTCTAAAGATTCTTTAGAAAGTTCTGAAGACGAGTCAGAGTCAGAAGATGAATCTGAAGACTCTGAAGATGAGTAAGAATCTCAGGGAGATTCCGATAGTGGATCTGATTCTGATCCAGATTCTGATGATGATCTAGAATATGGTGGTGATTATATTTCTGGAAGGGAAAACTCTGAAGACATGGGGTCTGGAGGACAAGCTTCCAGAAGTAACTCTAAAGGAAGTAGTTCTGGACAAGGTCCAGAAGCTAGCACTATTCTGACTTTTGGAGAAGCTTCAGAACAAGTTCAGAGGCTATAGAGAATCAGACAAATAATAAGTAGGTTTGCAAATTTTAGCATGTTGCATGATACTGAAGTAGATTCTGAAGGAGAAGTCGTTCAGTGTGCCATGTTAGTAGATTCATAACCAGTGGGTATTGAAGAAGCTCTCAAGAAGAAAGTATGGTTGAATTCCATGAAAGAAGAACTTGAGGCTATTAAAAGAAACAAAACTTGGAAGTTGATGAAGCTTCCAGAAAAGAAGAAAGCCATCAACATCAGATGGGTTTTCAAGGTGAAGCTTAAGCCAGATGGATCAATTGGCAAACACAAAGCGAGACTAGTGGCTAGAGGTTTTATTTAGAAACCTGGGCTAGATTACTTTGAGGTGTTTGTGCATGTAGCTAGCCACAAAACAATCAGACTGGTGATTGCTTTAGCTGCAAACAGAAATTGGCCTTTGATACATCTGGATGTGAAGTCTGCATTTCTGAATGGTCTGTTACAAGAAGAGGTATATGTGTCACAACCTCCTGGATTTGTGAAAAATAATTAGGAAGGGATGGTATACAAGTTACATAAAGCCTTGTATGGACTGAAACAAGCGCCCGGAGCTTGGAATCTGAAAATTGATTCGTTTTTCAAGAGGTAGAAGTTTCAGAAATGTGAGATGGAATATGGCATGTATGTGAAACATTTTGGTGGCAATATGATTCTGGTGTGTCTATATGTTGATGACATATTCATAACAGGAAGTTATCCAGAAGATATAATCAAGTTCAAAGAAGTTCTGATGAATGAATTTGAGATGACAAATCTGGGAAATATGGTATATTTTCTAGGAATGGAGCTTCTGTACTCAAACAAGGGTATCATTCTACATCAGCCGAAGTATGAACTTGAACTTCTGAAGAGATTTAAGCTGTAGAATTGCAAAGTTGTTGTGACACCATCAAAAACCAATCATAAATTGGATTCTGATTCTGATGGTGATTCTGTGGATGCTACAACCTTCAAGCAGGTGGTTGGTTCTCTTAGGTACTTGTGCAATACCAAACCTGACATTTATTATGCAGTTGGAATGGTTAGCAGATTCATGAGTAAACCAAAGTGGTCTCATTATCAAGCTGCTGTCAGGATTATGAGGTATATCAAAGGAACTCTGAAATACGGAGTGCTATTTCCTTCTGGAAGACAGACAGAACCAGAATTAGTGAGTTATTATGATTCTGACTGGTGTGGAGACAAAGTTAACAGAAGAAGTACTTCTGGTTACTTGTTCAAGTTTCTGGGAGGTCTAATTTCTTATAGTTCCAAGAAATAGCCTGTTGTGGCCCTGTCAACGTGTGAAGCTGAATACATTGCAGGTGTTGTAGCTGCATGTCAAGTTGTTTGGCTTCTGAATCTTCTGGAGGATTTGAAGATTGAGATAGAGAAACCTCTTAAGCTGTTAATTGATAACAAGTCAGCAATCAATATTGCCAAGAATCTAGTTTTGCATGGAAGAAGCAAGCATATTGAAACGAAGTATCATTTTCTGAGAAGTCAAATGCAGAAGGGAGTGTTAGAAGTTCTACATTGTAGCACTTAAAAGCAGCTGACAGATGTTCTGATGAAGGCAATAAAACATACCAAATTCTTCATTTGAGATATGAAATTGCTGTTGTTATTTTCTGATAGTTACTAAATTACGGGATGGTATTAGAGGGTAATTTAGTATTTTACATTTTTGGATATTCTCTTTTAGGGCCTATGTGGCATTCTTATCTTTACTATTTTTATGTATAAATAGGTGTACTAGGTTTCATTTAATATCAATCAATCCTCTTTCAATCATTTGTGGCAGCTTTATAGCATTTATCATTTTCTCTCTTCTTCCTCAATTTCATCACCTTGCACCAACAGAAAATCTGGGTTCCGGTTCCTTACAGAATTAATGCTTTTGGATGGAGGGTTTTATTGAATAAATTTCCATCAAAGGAGCAACTCAGCCATAGAGGTATTCTTTCTAATCCTAGTGAGCTAATTTGCATTTTTTTTCTGTTGCAGAGGAATCCCTTTTTCATCTTCTGCTGGATTGCGGTTTTGTTAAGACAGCATGGTGGGATATTTCCAAGTGGATTGGATTAGAGGGCAGCCTCGAAAACAACATTAGTTGCAGCTTTTTGTTCTGGTTCAAGAAAGTGAAAAAGGGAAGAGAATGAGTTATTTGGATGGCAGTCTGTTGGAGTATGTGGATTTTGAGGAGTAGAGTTATATTCAAAAACGAAAATAGTATCGTATTCGATTTAGTTTGGAATATCAAAGCTTTGGTTTATAGGTGGTCTTTCATATGTATTGTTCGAGTTACTCTTGGGAAAGGGGAGGTCGAAAGTCATATTATAAGCATTGTAAAACCATATGCAATAGACTTCGATAACCTTGATGCAAACGAGGAGATTGTTTGGGACGCATGGTTGTTAGAACGAGTATTCATAATACATATCTTCATTGTTAAAAGCATATCTCTCAAATGTCGTCTTGCTTTCTCTCAGGCAATGAAAGATGCGCTCTTCAAGGTGGTTATTGAGTCAGGATCTGTAGGAGCTTAGGTTTAATTATTACTTCTTCCTTGTTGCATTTTACAGGTGGTTAAGCCTCGGAATAGGTAGGTTCTTAGATCTGGGAATCAGAAAGCCTTGCAACAACATCATATTTTGGCATGCTTAAATACTTGGAGGGATGTAAATGGTCTTTCAAATTTAGTTGTTAGTGTGTTGGGTAGCTCTGAGCAAGAAACGTTGGGCCATGAGGGAGTTCATATTGACGAGGGAGATGCAAAGGTGAGCTCCAACGTCAAGCAATGTCTTTGTAAGGTTGCAGATGGCCATTTCACAACACTTGTGAAGGTGTTGGGTTCATCTGGTGTAGCCCCCTATAATGCACATACTATGAAGGCTTTGGAGGCTAAGCATCCTGTTGCACCCCAAAATTTGCCCTCTCATTTTACTTAAAAAACATACTCCTAGAGGTCCTCAATTGCTCAAGTTGACTAAGGATTGACCAGACAAATCCTCCTCCTAAGACAATGAGCCTCAAACTAGGGTTTCACTCCTCATCAAGATGTTTGAGTTCCAAGGGTCCTAAATGGTTTCCATTGCCCTAATATGTCCTCAAGATCATCCATGCCAATTTTCATGCCTTGCACAAGAAGTTTGCTCAGTCAACTGCTCAAATGCCTAAAAATCAACTGTACTAGGTCAAAAGTCAATTATGACCCACATACAGTCAAACTTCAAGATTTTTGGTCAACATCAACATTTTGAAGTTATATCCATCATTTGATCAAGGGTTGATCATGATTCTTCAAGGAATGCTCCTAATTCATCAAAACTCAAAAGTTGTTAAATTAGGGTTCCTATAGGAAAAGTCAACCAAACTTTGACCAGGCATAACTTTCTCATACTTTATCATAAATTTCTCATCCAAGGCTCATTTTGAAGAGAATCCAATTCCATACAACTCATCTTCAGCCCTCAAGTTCAAGAAATGCACTCATGAAAAGATATAAATTCAGACATTATAGGTCATTTTCAAAAGTCAACAAAAATACTTTTTGGGTCAAAGATCCTTACATGAACATGGAAGATCCAATAGAGATGAAACCAAAAGGGTTGTTTAGAGGACATCCTAAGCTTTCTAAAAAGTCAAAGAACACCCTCTTAGTGTCAAAATTGAGAGAGATGTGCATTGTCAAAGTTGGCAATTTTTGGAAATTTGCCCAAAGTCAACAATGCTCAAAATTGCATTTTTTTTCCACATGGGCCCATATTTTCAAAATTGAATCTAAGTCCTAGCATGGTACACGACCTATGGGACCCTCCATGCCTTATTTATTTGTTTATTTAATTTATTTTGATTTTTATTCATTTAAAAATCAAATAAAATCAAATAAATCACGTAATTTGTTTTAGGAATAATTTTTGCATTGAGTGGAGATCTCATATGCTGTCAATAGCCAAAGAAATCATGCAAGGCCAAATGGACACAAAATATTCACATATGGCAACTTTTCAAGATTTGATTTTCTCTTAAAACCATGCCATTAATCTTTGGATTCTTTCCACAAATATTGCCCTAATCTGACTCACTACATATGCCAATATATTGCAACCCTAGAACAGAAGAGAACAAGGGCGCAACCTACCTTAAAACAGAGAGAAAAAATTCCAAATTTTCCAACAAAAAGTGCAGATCAGTTTCACTTCTGGAGGCCGATTCAAGTTGTTCTAAAGATCAAACAATAATCCTTGGACGTCTAGGAAGCTATCACGATCATTCCCAAAGCTTGCAGTGTCCAGAATCACGCCCTTGCACTCACGGTTTGTTCTTATATTTTCTAATCTCGATTTCACTCATCCATCCATTATAAATTTGATTTGACTGCATATTTGGGTTCATGATCATCATGTGAATGTTTCTGGATATTTCAATTTAAGCTTGAGTGCAGGTATAATCATTTGCCATTGTTAGGGTTCCGGAGCTTCAAATTGGGGAACCCTAGCTAGAGGCGAAATTGGGACAAATTAAGGGCCTCTTCATGTTCAGGGGATGATTTGCAGTCGATCCATGTCTTTGGATGAAATTTATTCTGCTTGAATTGTATTTTAGAGTTTTGCGGGTTTATAACTACAATCAAAAACCGTCACTATAGCCTATAGTGACGGATTGGACTATAGGTAAAAGTCCTTTCTAAAACAACAGTCCTGACGAGGAAGATGATGGCGTGTCCAAGCCTGGTTGGACAGTTTAAATCTGTGATACGGTGGGAGAACTGACTTGAGGTTTTGCGTTTATGTTCGCAAATGTTTCGGTTTAGCAAGAGTCGCCACCGACTTTTTATTTTATCCAAAGGAAAGGTCAAAAAGCACAGGAAAGACCTTTGAGATGTTTTCTTGGGTTAGGGGGGTAGATTATGAAAAGGGAAGGTGCAAGCACCATTTTCATCCATGGTTATCCATGGGCTCTTAGTTACTTGTTTAGATCACTTGCTTTGCTTTTCCAATTGTTTGAAATGGTGCTTTGTGTGTGGTTTTGAAAATGTTTTTGAAAAGAGGCCATCGTTGTGGCAACCTTTGTAATGATTCTTGTTTGAATGTATACAAAGGTGTTTTTGTCTTTTGAAAAGATATTTCAATGTTTGAAAGTTTGATATGGGAAAATGTTTTGAAATTGTGTTGTGAAGTGTGTTTGAAAATGGCAAGGATGGTTTGCAAGTTTTGATCAAGTAACTAAGAGTTGTCTACCCCATTTTACTCAAAGGTATTTCCTACACATTTTTAACCCTTTTGATAGTGTTGTTTTACCATTTCATTTGGTAAACAACCTTGTATTAGGATGTTAAACGGGACAGACGCGGGTCATCGTATGTACCATGATAGAAATTGTGCTAAGTATCTTTAGCAATTTTGAGGGACTAGATCATTTTTGTATAGGCAACCAAGATAGTGTCATCGAGGGACTATGATCTTTTGTTTTGTTTTTGTTTTGCCAAGATACTCAACATGCATAACATGGTCATTTTAAGGCAACAAGTGGATGAAACCCTAGGGGTGCATGTGTGCATTGTATTGTCAATTTACATGCATTTTGTCTTTGTATTAGTCAAGCTATTTGTTTTGATTTTGGATTTTTGCATACAAACCCTAATCTCTAACATGGCATATTTGAAAGCATAAAATGTGTAAAATAAATCTACATTATTACAACATTTGATATAGGAAGGGGGATACAATTTTGAATGGGGATTATTTTGCAAGAAATTAAAACCCTAATATTTACTATTACATCCAAATTGAATAAATGGTACAAATAAATAAATTGGCAATAATTAAACAATTTAAATATAACTATGCAAAATATTATGAATATGCACAAAATGTTTTTTTGTTTATTTTTTATGTATGTAAAAAATATTTAAGGTATATATAAAAAGAAATAAAAGATTCTATATTTTTTTTATTAAGGATAAAAACCCTAATTTTCTTTTAAGAAAGTATATATATATATATATATATATATATATATATATATATATATATATATATATATATATATATATATATATATATATATATATATATATATATATATATATATATATATATATATATATATATATATATATATATATATATATATATATATATATATATATATATATATATATATATATATATATATATATATATATATATATATATATATATATATATATATATATATATATATATATATATATTATATATATATATATACAATAAAATAAGAATAAATGAAATATGTACAAATGTCAAAAATGAAAATATATTAGAAAAATGTTATTTTTAATGAGGGTAAAAACCCTAGTTTCTTTTAAGAAAGTAAATATATATTAATTGTTTTATTCATGTATGATAAAATAAAATAAAATATATACAAAATAAAAATATATTTTAAAAAAAATATTATTTAAGTATAAATGATAAAAAAATAAAGGTATAATATTTTTTATGTTTTATTTTCAAATTCTCATTAAGTAAAATAAAAATATATACTATTTGATAATTATTTTCATGTTAGAAAAATAAAATACAAAAATAAATGTGAAAATTTATAAAAATATTTTTGGTATTTTTTATGTTTAGAAAATAATAAAATAAAATAAGAAATGAAAAATAAATACAAAAATATAAAAATATGAAGAAATGGGCCAGGGGGTGCAGTCAGCAAAGCAGGGGGTGCCAAAAACAAGAAGCAAAAGCCCAGCCCAATTCCAATCTTCGTCTTCAACCTTGGCTCAAAAAAAATGCGCGCGCCTATACAAATTTCCAGATCCTGCATACGTGCTCTAATGCAAAAACTCATAACATCAAAGTTGTAGCCTTTTTCAAGACGAATTCAACCATATAAGAAACTTAATCTAACTCTCAAAGACCAGAGATAATTTCTCTGGCCCTAAATTCTAACCTAATTTTTTCAGGAAGTTCATGGATCAAATTCTCTTAACACGATTAACTTAAATGAAAACTGAGCATATGTACAGCTTCATGGCTATGAATACTATATTTTTTATTCACAAACCTAAGCCTAATGATTCCTAAATAGAGAGATAGGAAGTTGACAAAAACCTGTTTCAGTTGACTTCATGTATGGCAATGTGGAACTTTTCAGTGAGGCCTGAGATGTTTGGGAGCTTGTTTGAACTTCCTCTGACCTTCCCCAATGCCTAGTTTGCCTTGAATGTGCTTGAACAAGACTGTAGAACTCAACCTGCACAAGCTGAAATCAAAAATGGTAAACCTTGCAAATGGAGTTACAGTCAGTCTTCAATGGTTGGGATAGCTTGGATAGGTTATGTGGAATGTGTTTGAACAAGTTTGAGGCAAAACGCACGAGGGGTTTTTGCTATGGAAGTCAAACTACAGGGAGTGCCCTGTTTTGCCAATGGAAGGTGATTTTGTGCTATGTAAGGTTTGAGGGCTCAATGGCTCGTGTTTTTGGCTCAAGGGAATGCACAAAACTTGTTTCAAAAGCTTGCCAGGGTTGGTTCCAACAGATGTGCAAGTTGTAGTGTATTTGACAAGTTTCTTGTATTTTAAGCAAAAATAAGCCATGATGCAAGACAAGCCTGTACAGGCTATCTATCAGCCTGCACTTTGTGATCTTGGCCCCCTCAATTGGTGGATATTGTATGTTGTACCAGATCTTGTTCAAGGCTCAAGAGATGTGGTTTGACATAAAGCACATTTGACAAAAATGGCAATGTTGCCTTTTTGCTATTTAAGGATTAATCTTGTGTGCAATCCTCCCATGACCAAAACAAAGCCTTATACCAATGGATTTGCATTTAATTATTGAGTATGGAAGGGTTTTGAGACCTGTAATCAAGTACAAACAAGGCTGATTAGAGTTTGCAACTTGTATCAATATGAACATGCCATGGATCAAAAGTGAGTTTTTGCCAACTTCAAGC